TTTCTACCTCATAGGGCTGTCGTGAATGAATAATGTATGTAACGTGCTTGGTACATAGCAGGCATTTGATAACCAGTAGATATTGTTTATTAATTAAATGCTGTTTATTAATTAAACACTGACTCTTAAATCATTGACAACTTTTCAAATAAGATTCAGAAGCTCTGAAGAAACATTTTGACTCCCCATAGAAGCACTGGATAGATCTTATCTAAACATGTTGCGTAGGAGAATGGGATTCTTTGGTCCCTGAGTGACTCATGTTCTTTGAGCACTATTTCATCGAGGGGAATGAAACAGCTTGCACTGGTGCCAAAAGGAAAGCCCCAGGATCCTAATCTCCGTGGGAGGGTAGCAGGGTCTAAGAAAGCCTGCAAAAGTAAATGAGATAGAAAGGCCAGAACAGTCCCCTTCTGCCTCCCAGTGGGGAAAACCTGTCATTTAATTGAGGGGGGAGTCACACATATAGGTGAAAGGACAGTAGAAAGCAAGAATGATATCGCTTATTTGTGGAATCTAAAAAATAGGTACCAATGAACTTATTTACAAAACAGAAGTAGAGTCACAGATGTAGAAAACAAACTTATGTTTACCAAGGGGAAGGAGGAAAGGGATAAATTGGGAGAGTGGGATTGACATATACACACTACTATATATAAAATAGATAACTAATAAGGACCTACTGTATAGCACAGGGACCTCTACTCAATACTCTGTAATGGCCTATGTGGGAAAAGAGTCTAAAAAAAGAGTGGATACATGTATATGTATAAATGATTCACTTTGCTGTACACCTGAACCTAACACAACATTGTAAATCAACTATACTTCAATTTAAAAAAATTTTAATTTAAAAATAAATAAATAAGAATCCAAAGATGTGGAAACAAGTTTAACAGGAGTTTGTCATTCCTGCCCCCCAAATGGGAAATTATTATATTATTCATAATCATCTCAGCATTATGATGCAGTTGTTGGCATCATCTTTTGTCAGGGGTTTGAAGAACTCTTTGTAAAAAGTATGCTTCCCGGGTTTCCCTGGTGGCGCAGTGGTTGAGAGTCCGCCTGCCGATGCAGGGGATACGGGTTTGTGCCCCGGTCTGGGAAGATCCCACATGCCGCGGAGCGGCTGGGCCCGTGAGCCATGGCCACTGAGCCTGCGCGTCTGGAGCCTGTGCTCTGCAGTGGGAGAGGCCACAGCAGTGAGAGACCTGCGTACTGCATAAAAAAAAAAAAAAAAAAAAAAAAAAAAGGTATGCTTCCCTTTGGTGAATAAGAAAGGAGAAGAGTTTTGGTAACCCTCGGTTGTATTTCCAGCTTGTCAGGATCGTTAGGAGATAGACTGTCACATCCCGTTGTTCCTCTGTATGTAGTTTCTCATGCAGCCTTTGTTAAAACATGGGAAGGGACAGTGCCCTGCTGCGAATCGTACAAATAGAATGAGTGAGATAGACATTGCCCTAGAGATGTTTGTTGAACTGTTGGTGCATTTCACTAAACTCCAGATTCTTTCCCTGTTCCTTTATTTATTTAGTCTAGTGACTTTTATTTTTCTTTCCATATGGGAGGGAAAAAATTGTTTGCAATCCCAATTATAAGGAAGTAGTCTTCCTATTTGGTGAACACAAGAAATATGGTATTAGGAATAGTTGAATGTTAGTTAATAGCTAACATGATCACCCTGTGTATCATTTTAGCACTGTTTTTGTTGTCCTTAGTTCTCCCTTTGATTTTTGTTTTTAATTTACAGTTACTTGCTTTCAGCGTTAGAAAGTTTAGAGTAGAAATCAGAGTGATAACCTAATATCTAAAAATAAGATATAATAGTGGTATTAATAAGATGAATGATAGCTTACAATTAAGGATGATCAGGACTTATAGTTTCAGCTTCATGGACAGTATTTATTCCCTCTCTCTCATACACACACACACACACACACACAGACTCAATCACTGGCAAACTCCATACCTATAAGACAAAATTTCACAGATGAGGAATGAAGTCTTGGAGAGCTAATCCTTGCCTAAGATCCCACAGCCAGAAAACGATGGATCCAGAAGGGTGGCTCTTCAATGGCCTTTTCTGTTGTAGTTCCCAGGGAACCACTGAAGCACTGTGATTCCGCCTTGAAGGAAAGGACCTTGTCTTATTCATCTTGGTGCCCAGCCCCTCGTGAAGAACAGAACGGAACAAGGGGGTGACGTAACTAGCACTTTTCTGGGGGAAGATAAATCTGGCAAGGATGAGTGGGATGAAAAGAACAGGGAAAGATTGGTGGCATGGAGGGCAGTTTAGACGTTAGCACAACAATACAGAAAAAGAGTTAATGAGATCATGTATGAGGGAGCGGCGTGGCAAAAAGAAAATAGGCAATGAAGGTACAAGAGATTTAGGAAGAATGAGCCCGTGGGACTTCATAGCCACGTGCAGGCAGTGGGGAGTACCAGGCCTTTTGAGAAATATCCGTTCATGTAGCAAATATTTCTGGAGCATCCTCTGTGTGCCAAGATCTAGTCTAGTTGCTGGGGATCTAACAGTGAATTAGGTAAATGAAGATTTTGCTCTCATAGAGCTTATATTCTCGTTGGAGGATGTACCAGTCAGTTCTCCAGACAGCCACTGTATCCCACTATACATTCTTAAGGAATTAGCTTATGTGATGATAGGGGCTGGCAAGCCTGAAATCTGTAGGGCAGGTCTACAGGCTGGAAACGCTGAGCAGGGGCTGATGCTGCCATCTTGAGGCGGAGTTTTTTCTTCCTCAGGGAAACCAGTTTTGCGGTTAAGGCTCTTCAACTGATTGGGTCAGGCCCACCCAGATGATTTAGAATAATCTCCTTTATTTAACGTCAACAGACTGTAGATATGAATCACATCTGCAGACTACCCTAGATTAGTGTTCGATTGAAGAACTGGTACTATAGTCTAGCCAAGTTGCCACATGAAACTAACCATCACAGAGGAGATGTAAGAATGACCAGTGCAGACAGAGAAGTCACTCAGGGGATAAGAGCAGGTACCAGCTTCTGTGTGTGGGAGACTCAGGGAAGCCTCCTCCGCAGGAATAGATGTATCTTCATCTTACACATGAGGCAGAGGAGACGTGGGAATGTTAAGTGACTTATTTAGGCTAAAACAGCTAATCATTGGCCCTGCTGTCTTTCTGACTCCCAGTACATGTGCAGGAAACACAACAGAGCCTGCCTCCCAGGAATGGTCAAAGGGACCTGAATGTCTGACTTACTTTTCCCCAGAAGGAACACCAGTGAGTGAGAAAATTTAGATTAGGCACCTGTTTTCTGAACGTAGAGCCTGAACACAGGGAGGTCGATTATTGCTTGGGGGTAGGGGTGCAGGGGGACACTTGACCCCGCATCAGCCCCTCCCTCCTGCTGCTGCACTGGGACTGACTTTCTTCCTGCGCCCAGGTCAGGGCTTTTGTACAAGCCAGTCATTCTGCCTAGAAGACTCTTCTTCCTCTCCTCCCCTTCTGTGGATAATGTCTGCGTAGCCCTCCGGGGTCTGAGCTTCGGCACCTCGTCAGGGAAACTTTCTCTATGTACCCAAACTAGGATGCATCTCCCAGTCACAAGCCCCCTACCAGCTCCATGTTCTGCTAATGTGTCCTTAGCGCTGTTGTCGTGAAGTAGTTTATTTCTGTTTTATTAGTGTCTGCCTCTCCGATTATACTCCCAAAGAGAAGGAGCCAGATCCCTATCGTGCTGATTCCCAGTGAGGAGCACAGTTCTTGGCAGGTATTCCTTGTCGCGTGGATGCATGGCTAAAGGAATGAATGGATGTGATATATTTACTTGTAAGCGGTAAATCTGTAAGGCATTCGAAATAGTGACATGGAAACACACGACACATCCAGGTTGCTCCTCTCCGTCTCCTAATCCCCAATGCGATCGTGTCCTGTACACAGCTAATGCTATCCTTGGGACATGGGTTCTTCTCCATGTCAGTTTCAGAAGTGGCACTTCTTGAGCTCTTCTCTGATTTGAGGGGTCCTTTGTATGCATCGGAGCCTCAAGCCTTCTAATGCAAAGACAGCTGGTAGAACTGTTAGCACAATAAAAGATGAGAGTCAGGGAAGAGAGTGCAAGCGTTCCGGGAATAGTGCAGCATGGATAGCGTGTCCCAAGGATGCCCTCATACTTGACAGATGGTTCTCTCTCTTCTTGCCCCAGGCAGGAAATTCTGACTGCTTCTGCCCGTGGTCTGGAGTCGTGTGCGTGAGAAGACAAGCTTCTGATTCGAGCAGCCCCTGAGATCTCTGAGTGGGCTCTTGTGAGCCATGTTGAGAGGAAGTTTAGTCAGGACTCCCCACCCCCGCACCTACTAAATGCCCCCCTTATCCTGTCACTCAGAGGAAGGCTCCGGAGGGCTGGCGCGTGAGCCTGGCGATGGAGTTGAGCGCATCAGCCGTACAAACAGTAAAGCTTACGGTACCTGTCCCTCCGGCTTCTGATGTGAGAGCCACCAGCCATAGCAACTTAAAACATCCCTTGTGCTGTGAAATGCTTGCCGGAGCTCTTCTGCCCTTTTGTGTGAGACCCCGAATATCTACAGAAATGAGGCTTTATTTTGCAGTTTGCTTCTGACTGTAGGAAAAGAAATTTTGGATTGATTTAAAAGTGGCAACTCTCAGGTTATCCTGCAAGGTCTGTGCAAATTTCTCCACTTGCCTTCTTTCCATTCAAGATTCTTCCTGTCTAGAAAGAGAGAAATTTCTCTGTTTCTACATTCTCTGCATTTTCTCAAACTTGGAAGACTCAGCTGCAAATCATAGAGGACCCTCCTGGGAGCCAGACAGATGTTGACTGTATCACCGCAGGGTGTAACAGGAAGCATTACTGGCCCAGGTGTTCAGAGATGGAGGTCCGAGTCTTGTCTCTGCCACCAAGCAGTGCGTGACCTTGAACAAGTCTCTGGGCTGGAGTGGACTAGGTGCTCTCCGCAGTTACCGCCGCGCTAAGATGTATGGTTCTCATTGCAGGCATCTTTTCCACAAGTCCTGTGTTGACCCCTGGCTCCTAGACCATCGCACCTGTCCCATGTGCAAGATGAACATTCTTAAAGCCCTAGGGATCCCGGTAAGCACAGCACAGCCTACAGCATCGTCATGTCTGTCTTTCTGCCTTTGCCACAAAGCAGGGAGAAAACAGCATCCCTGGATTTCCTGTGTCCCCTCAGTCCCATAGCAGTGGCGTCACATGATGAGGCCCTCAGAGCACTTCCACGTCTGGATATATTCCTCCTCTCACTTTTCCTCAATCTGAGACCATCGTGACCCTCTCAGCATGTCCATTGTATTTGTCTGTGAGTTGAGATGCTGTCTGAGCGGCTCATAGGCTCCTCTTCCGGGCTGCAATGGGTGAGAGCAGGTGGGACACCCACAGAGGCCTCTTGGGCCAGTTGTACACTGATGACACTCTTGTGTCATTTACCTGCGCTGTCATCAAGCAGACCCGCACGCCACACTTTCTGATGTTGCCCCACCATCTCCTAGCTTCCAGAGGAAACAAGCTCTTCCCAACGATGGGAGGGGAGGCCAGCCACTGGGAATCTGGCTCAGGGCCCTCTGCTGAGCTCAGATCTCCATGGCGAGCTTGAGTGACGAGGAAGCCAAAGCCAGAACCACTGAATTCTAGCGCTACCCTCAAGCTGGTGCCCTCAGTTATACGTTTTATCAAACTTAGTCATTCCCCCTGTGCAAAGAGAATCCCCCCAGCTGGCTGGCTTGATGCTCCAGGGAAAGACTTTCCAGGGACCATATCGAGTGAAGGCCACGGGCTACTGAGGCACCATCTGCTATGGTGAGGGCAGGAAGCAAGCCAGGCCACCAGACCCGAGGGCTGCGCAGAGATGTGAGAACAACCTGGCGCCGTCTAAAAGAAGCTAGACAAACAGCATACAGAGACCGGCCTCCCCCTTCCCCCTCCGCTTTGCTCTCTCCTCCTCTTGTCATTCCTCACTACTAATGGCAGAGAATAAACAGAATTTTAAAAGTCCCAAGATGTCACTGAAGAAGAAAGGATCAGATCAGATATCAAAGGCTTCCTTTAATGCCAGAGGGCTAATTATCCCGGGAAGACCAGAGTGACTCTGTTTGAGGGCACACACCTGAAGCATCACAAGGTCATGGATTGGCTGAATTTTCTACCCTGCCTCCCTGCCGGCTGTATGCTGATTTTTTTTTTTTTTTTTTAACAGTCGATACACCAAACACAAATCAATTTGTGTGACTATAGCTTTGAGCTAGATTTTGAAAGGCAATGCATTACATTTTCAGACCAGGGTTGTGAAGGCATAATACATTCAAGGTGAAAATCACTGACAGTGAACATGAAACATGAGTAAAAACCCAACATCTCTATCAGATACTAGGGACTTAGAAAATTAAACTCGCTGTTTGCATGTTCCACATTTCTGGCTCTAACTGGTTCCTATTACAGTGGTACCTTCTGCCATTATATTTTGCCAAGAGAAATAAAAGACCGAACCTGACAGGAGCAGGTCCTTTACTGTCAGAGTGTTTTCAATCCCCTTATCTACATTCAAGTGCTTCATCCTCCTTTCTCTCCAGTCAGGTCTAGGGGGTGTCTTTGCAGGATGACAGATCACATCATTGAGTGCTCCTATAAGGTACCATATAACACGGGCCTTTTTTATCCCAGCACACACCGCCTCCTATCACTATTATCCTGGTATAAATAAGATGATTGTAAACGAATAGAAAATCCCGTGCAGCTGGTATATTCACTAGTCCCTAACTATTTCGCATCTGGTTTATTTGAGTTCTCCCTGCTAACCTGAATTTGAAAACCTATATGCTGTTCACTTACAGATGGTATTTGACATCTCTTACTAAACATTATGACTGTAATTTCTCTTAGAGGTATATAAATTGGGTTTCTATTCAAAATATTATTCTATTTGATGAACCATTTCGAGTGGATATAAACTGTGAGGTTCTGTAAGGTGGGTCTGTTAAATATTGTATCTAAGCCAAATTATTTATTCGTTCTCTCATTAACAAGTCTCACTGAGCTAATTTGCTTTCTCTTTTCCTCTACTCACCTCTGTTAGAGACATAACACTATTCCTGCTAGCCCACAAAGTAAAAGGGAACACCCTGCATCAAAACTAATAAAATAATGTTATAAAAAGAGAAAAGAGAGAAAACAAGAACACGATCAACAAGCAAAGTCAACATTGTGAAAAATATGTCAGTTGTTCTTGCATCTGTGGTCACATCCAGATGCTTATGGCTGAAAGAACGGCCAGTACAGGATCCTCACTTGGAGCTCTTTTCCTCCCTGAGACCCGCACACAATTTAGATCTGCATCTTTACATAGTATAGTGGAGGGAAAGAAGTTATTTTTTCTTCTACCCTCCTCGGTTCTCCAGCTGGGCCCTGTAAATTAGGCTTGTAAAAGGCAGATTAACAAGAGAAAATCTAACAGAAGTTTATGAACACATGCATCGTGTGTGCACATAGGAGCACTTGGCGATGAGTGACTCAGAAGGGTGGTTAGAACTTCGGCTTCTATAGCATCTTCAAAAAAGAGCAATAAATTTTTAGAGAAGTGACAAGACAGAGGGAAAGGACTTTGAGTTTCTAGGACAGCAAATTGTGGGGAGGTAAATATATGGGGGAAACCAATGGCGGATAAGGGCATGTCAGTTAGGTTTGTTGCGTCAACTCCCAGTCGCTGGTGATAAGAATGTTCTTCTCTTTCTGGTACAGAGAGGGGGACCCCCTTACAAATTTATGTCTTGCTTTTAGGCAAATAGGGGGAAGGCAGAGGGCATTTCTTTACCCAGTTCTCAATTGTTTCAGCTAAAAACAATTTTTATGCCAACGTAGCAAATTTGGGCAGTGACATACTCTGCTACCCTTCAAAGGTGTACTTTACCTTTGCCCAGAAATTGAATTTTTTTAAGTATTTTCTCAAAGCTTCCCTTCACTGATCTCAGATCTGGGCAGATACTAACATTCCCAGGTTTTCAGAGCAGTAAACTGAGACTCAGATAAAATTTCCAAATCAGCATTTACTGAGCACTTAATAATTGTCAGGCACTATGTGAGGGCTTGGAACTCAAGGTCAATATAGTGTAGGTGCTTCACTTTAAGAAGCTTGTGTCTCACTTGTATGTGGAAACTACGTGGAAAAGAAACAGAGAGGAGATCTGTGGTTGCCAGGGGCAGGAGGTGGGGAGGGTGAAATGGGTGAGGGGGTCAGAGGGTACAAACTTCCCGTTACGAAATAAGTAAGTCCCGGGGATGTAACGCACCGCACGGTGACTCTAATACAATACACAACACTGTATTGTATATTTGAAAGTTGCTAAGAGAGTAGATCTTAAAAGTTCTCATCACAAGAATAAAAATTTTGTAATCATGTGAGGTGATGGATGTTAACTAAACTTACTGTGGTGACGGTTTTGCAACATACACACGTATCAAATCATCATGTTGTGCAACTTAAACTAATACAATATGCCCTGCCAGTTATATCTCAGTAAAACCGGAATTAAAAAAAGCTTGCGGACTAGTAGGGTGAGACTAACACAGTAACAAATGACTGTAACAGTGGGAGAAGTGGGAAAAGAGTTACAGCATCAAAGATGACTACTGGGAGGGAGCGCTGCTTAGAAAAGGGACATTTGGCCTGGGAATTGAGGGATGATTAGGAGTTCACCAGGGTTAGTTTGAGACCTTGGGATGGGAGAGGGGAAGGGGATGATGCTTTGGGCAACTGTCATCCCGAGTGGAAGAGCAGCATATGCTAAGGTGCTGAAATGGGGAATATGTGGTTTATTCTGTGTGTTTCCAAAGGCTGAAGGTAGGGCCAGAAAAGAAGGCTTGGGTCAGACTGTACGGTACCTGTTTTGCTATACTAAGGAGCTTGTAATTCATTCTTTAGGAGGAAAAAGAGAAAATCATACCTATGCATGAGTGCTCTGGTGAAAAAGTGGAGAATGAAGTATACCGGGGAAGAAACTAGAGGGAGATTGGGAATTGGTAATGGGGTAAGAAACGTTCAGAACATACCCGCTCATGTCCAATAATCTCAGTCAGTAAACTTGGAGGATCAGTCATTCAATGAGTTGACTTTCAACAACTCGAATTTCAAGGAATTGGCCCACTGCCAGTAGAGATGAAGACGGCAGAACACAAAGAGAATGTGGGGGAAAGGGAATGAGCTGAATTTGAGGTTTTTGTGGGATGATGGAGATTTCCAGCTGACTGTTGGAAACACAGGCGTGGGGCTTGGGAGACTTGCCTTGAGAGTGGAAATCCAGGACAAGAGTCCAGCAGTTTGGATTTCTTGCCTTGTGCTCCCCATGAGCCCGTGAGTGATAGATTTTTCTCTTTCAGTGAACTTGGCACACAATCTAGTCATTGTGGTGTTAATTCAAACAATGTCAACATAGGATTCTCCTCACCCAAGCCTGCCCACCCTGATCTGCATCCTTGGACGGGGTGCAAAACCGTGTCATTGTCGTCGCTCAAGGCAATGTCACTCTCCAGCGTGGAGCAAAACGTGTGATTAACAGCCATTCTTAGTGCTTCTCAAGACCGTATCTCTCCTCCACCACCTTTAAAAAATCATTTTTCTGAGTTTGGTCAGAGGCAGAACAACTGATAATCATTTTTTAAAAGCTGTTTGTGGAAGAGATATCAATATATTCAACACCACTTCAGCCAGCAGAACTGAGACCAAAGAGTAAAACTGCCCCGCTTCCCGCTAAGAGAAGCCGACCGACACAGGCTGCCTTGCGAGGCACAAGAGACCCCGGTCTCTACGTTTTTCAAGTGGAGCTGTGAGGAATATTGGGAGGGAGAGTCCTGTAGTGAGTGGGTAATTAAAGTAGATGGTCTCACCCTAGTTTTATGATTCTAAGATTTTAACTTAGAAGATTTGACAAATGTACGATCAGTTGAATGTTATGTAAATAGGGCTTTGCTCTGCAGGTGGTTTTTGGGCTTATGTTTAACAGCACCTCACCCTGTGCTCTTGTGTTTGTGTGTGCGTTTATGTATATGTGTGTATCTCTGATGCACAATTCACGAGTCAGATTCTGTCTCCCCTCTCATGCCATCAGTCTATTTGTAAACAACACATGGGTCTTTGGGGCTAATTATCAGGCTGTCAGCTACTTCCTATACAAGAAGTAAACACTATAGATAAGGAAGAGCTGTCATTATAAATAAGTATCATATTATTCTCCCTATGTAATTATATTAATGTATGGCTACTGCTACCCCTGGAATTAAAACCTTGTCTGTAGATCTAAACGGAACCTTTGGAAAGAAAATTTTGGAAGATGTTTTCATGTTAATTACAGGAACTATATGTGGAATGTCTTTAAATAAAGTGGTTCAGGAAGAAAACAGTGAAGAACTTGGTTTTCCCTCAGGACAAAATATTTAGGCTGTAGACATCTCATCTCTAACTTGATGATATACACTAAGATAGGTCCTTTTCTGCTCCTGTCAGCCCAATGCCGACTGCATGGACGACTTGCCCACTGACTTCGAGGGATCTCTGGGAGGTCCGTCAACCAACCAGATCACCGGCGCAAGCGACACAACCGTAAATGAAAGCTCAGTCACTTTGGACGCTGCTGTCCGGACCGTGGGAGCCTTGCAGGTGGTCCAGGATACAGATCCCACCCCGCAGGAGGGAGGAATCATCTTCACCACCAACAGTAAGTTCTGCGCCACACGCCAGTGCCGTATTCCAAAAGGCTGTTGCCTCGCGCGAATTGGAAAAAGGCCCTTTTCCTCAAGAAGAAAGAAAAATTAAATGAATAGAACGTTGCTAGGCTAAACAATCATATCTGATGGGCCTTGAGAAGCCCAGCTTACTCCAGAGCCAGCAGGGCAGACAACAGTGCTAGCTGTGTGTGTCACCCACCTACACACGCCAATGCCACAGCACTGCACACCCCCCATGGTACCCAAAAACCAGGCCAGGTGGTGGTGCTGGCCTCTGAAAGTGGAAGGCAGGTGAGAAGAGCCACTGCCCACTGGATAGGGCACAACCCACTCACTCATGTGCGTGTGTGTGTGTGTGTGTGTGTGTGTGTACACAGGCTTGAGCCCTCCCGAGTGTGCAGGTGGCATTCTGAGCTGGTCTGGACAGCATGCAGGAGGGTTCTCCCCCAAACCCGTTGCTGCAGGACTCAGATGCAAGTGGAACCCCTTTAGATGGGCATCCTTGCAGTACAACCTAAACCCCTACGCATAGTGAGGTATTAAAATATCTTTAGGGTTTCTTCCGCATCTCCTGCATAGACTCAAGCTAAATGCTGTTCTGGTTGAGGGTAGTTATAAAAATATTAAAATAGCTATGTTAGCATACGGTTGAAGCTCAAACCTAAAGTATTTACTCTACCGTCTAATACAGCAGAGATAAAAGGAGTTCTAAAAAAATCAGCATGCAAATTAACTTAGGTTTAAGGTTAAACAGGTGGATGAATATTTCAGGTTTTAAAGGAGGTGTGTTGTTTCCCTTGATGGAAGTAACCTATTCACTATAGAAAATTTGGAAATGGAGCAGAGCAGATGAAAGCATGTTGGGATATTCCCTTTTAAGTTGGTCTCTTTTTTACATATTCGTGATGTTTATGCAGTTCAGAAAATCATTCACACTGAAATTTAAAGACGCATTTTTCTGATGAAGAAACATAACAGTCCTCGTCATTGAAAGACTCAGAAGTAAAGGAGAGAATAAAAAAAGAATGCAAAAATCACGCAGTACCCCACTACCCAGAAATAATCACTCTTAACATTTTGGTGTATTTGCTGATAATCTTTTTTTTTAACATCTTTATTGGTGTATAATTGCTTTACAATGGTGTGATACTTTCTGCTTTATAACAAAATGAATCAGCTTTATGTATACATATGTCCCCATATCCCCTCCCTCTTGCGTCTCCCTCCCACCCTCCCTATCCCACCCCTCTAGGTGGTCACAAAGCACTGAGCTGATCTCCCTGTGCTATGCGGCTGCTTCCCACTAGCTGTTTTACTTTTGGTAGTGTATATATGTCAGTGTTACTCTCTCACTCCGTCCCAGCTTACCCTTCCCCCTCCCCGTGTCCTCAAGTCCATTCTCTACATCTGCGTCTTTATTCCTGTCCTGCCCCTGGGTTCTTCAGAACCGTTTTTTCTTTTTTTTTTTTTAGATTCCATATATATGTGTTAGCATACGGTATTTGTTTTTCTCTTTCTGACTTACTTCACTCTGTATGACAGACTCTAGGTCCATCCACCTCACTACAAATAACTCAATTTCGTTTCTTTTTATGGCTGAGTAATATTCCATTGTATATATGTGCCACATCTTCTTTATCCATTCATCTGTCGATGGACACTTAGGTTGCTTCCATGTCCTGGCTATTGTATAAATAGAGCTGCAATGAACATTGTGGTACATGACTCTTTGAATTATGGTTTCCTCAGGGTATATGCCCAGTAGTGGGATTGCTGGGTCGTATGGTAGTTCTAATTTTAGTTTTTTAAGGAACCTCCATATTGTTCTCCATAGTGGCTGTATCAATTTATATTCCCACAACAGTGCAAGAGGGTTCTCTTTTCTCCACAACCTCTCCAGCATTTATTGTTTGTAGATTTTTTGATGATGGCCGTTCTGACTGTTGTGAGGTGATACCTCACTGTAGTTTTGATTTGCATTTCTCTAATGATTACTGATGTTGAGCATCCTTTCATGTGTTTGTTGGCAATCTGTATGTCTTCTTTGGAGAAATGTCTGTTTAGGTCTTCTGCCCATTTTTGGATTGGGTGGGTTGTTTTTTGATATTGAGCTGCATGAGCTGCTTGTAAATTTTGGAGATTAATCCTTTGTCTGCTTCATTTGCAAATATTTTTTCCCCATTCTGAGGGTTGTCTTTTCATCTTGTTTATGGTTTCCTTTGCTGTGCAAAAGCTTTTAAGTTTCATTAGGTCCCATTTGTTTATTTTTGTTTTTATTTCCATTTCTCTAGGAGGTGGGTCAAAAAGGATCTTGCTGTGATTTATGTCACAGAGTGTTCTGCCTATGTTTTCCTCTAAGAGTTTTATAGTGTCTGGCCTTACATTTAGGTCTCTAATCCATTTTGAGTTTATTTTTGTGTATGGTGTTAGGGAGTGTACTAATTTCATTCTTTTACATGTAGCTGTCCAGTTTTCCCAGCACCACTTATTGAAGAGGCTGTCTTTTCTCCATTGTATATTCTTGCCTCCTTTGCTGATAATCTTTTGATATAGTTGAGACAATAACCATGGGAATGAACATTCAGTATTGTAACCATAGAACTTTCACAGGACCTCGACAGAGAATAATTTCGAGAGGAACTTGGTGGTAAATATCCACCCATGTAGGGTTTATTAGTTTTTGGTAGGTATGAGTTTTAACTTGACTTTTAGAGGCCTAAGGACCTCAGTATTGAAACATTGGCCATAAACATTAAAAAGTCCTTAAAGAGAGATTTTGATCCATTTGTTTTGAAGGTCTAGAGTGGTACTGTCTAGTATTAATATAATGCAAGCCACAAAAGTAATTTTAAATTCTCAATAGCCACAGTAACATAAAAATAATAAGTTGGTAAAGTTCATTTTAATGATTTTTTTTTTTTTGCGGTACGCAGGCCTCTCACTGTTGTGGCCTCTCCCTTTGCAGAGCACAGGCTCTGGATGCGCAGGCTCAGCGGCCATGGCTCACGGGCCCAGCCGCTCCGTGGCATGTGGGATCTTCCCAGACCGGGGCACGAACCCGTGTCCCCTGCATCGGCAGGCGGATCCTCAACCACTGCGCCACCAGGGAAGCCCAATAATATTTTTATTTAACCCAATATATCCAAAATATTTTATTCTTTTTTTTCTAGTAACTCTTCAAAACCTGGTGTGTATTTTATTCTTAGATCACATCTCAGTTTAGACTAGCCCCATTTCAAGTACTCAGAAGCACGTGTGGCCAGTGGCTACCATATTGGAGAACACAGATTTAGAATCCTAGTAATTTAGGGATATAAGAACCTTAAAAAAAAAAAAAAAAACCCTTAAAGGTCATTTAATCATTACCATGATAAACTTTTGATTTTCACCATATGAAAATTGTGACCAGTTACCATCAGGCATATCACCATTAGTGGTCTAAGTGAAGTATATTGGAAGGCCTCATAAAATTTTGCTAGCAGTTCAAAAACATTTAAGGCATGAGCCTTTATTGAGCCCATAAAAAGAACCAAATCAGAAATGGATCCTACTTGCAATGAAATGATTGTTTGATTTTCTGTTAGATTCCTTATTTTGAAAACTGGCTATGTCCTTCATCCATCTTAGTAAAGCCCAGATGACAAATGAAAAGGCATAGTTTATGGGTTAAAACACAACCAAAACTGAAATAGGAAATTAAAGTCTGTATCCATATAATTCATAATCCCAGACAGTTTTGGCTAAAATAGACTCAGAGTGTTTAGGTTCATAGCAGGCATTTAGCAGATGTCTATGGAATGACTTGAGATAAAAGTGTTTGATCTAAGCTTCAACAGGGAGCTTCTGTTCACAACAGAAGGAAAAATGCCAGGTAATTTCAAAGGAAGGTCTTGGTAAAGATGAAGAGACGAGGTGTGAGACCACATCTATAGTTTGAAGACTGAAACTGTATATGAGTATGGCTAAAGACATCAGTCTCTTAGTACAGAAACTGAATTTTTCTCACAAAATACTCTTCCTAGACCATTTATTTCATTTTTAATGAAGTATAGTTGATTTACAATGTCTCAGGTGTACGGCAAAGTGATTCAGTTTTATATATATGTGTAAACATATATACATACATATATGTATTCTTCAGATTCTTTTCCATTATAGGTTATTACAAGGTATTGAATATAGTTCCCTGTGCTTTATAGTAGGTCCTCGTTGTTTGTCTGTTTTATATATAGTAGTGTGTATATGTTAATCCCCAATTCCCAGTTTATCCCTCCCCCCCTTCCCCTCTGTAACCATAAGTTTGTTTTCTATGTCTGTGAGTCTGCTTCTGTTTTGTAAATAAGTTCATTTGTGTCGTTTTTTCTAGATTCCACATAAAAGTGATATCATATGATATTTTATTTCTGATTAGTTTTATTTATTGGGATTTCACAGAATATTCCAAGCACAGTCATTCTGATTAGATGTTAATGGTTTATACCACTAACTAAATGGCTGTAGATTACTTAAGGGGAAAATTCTTTCCTCTGTACAGGTTTGTACATTGCCTAGTGCCCTAACTCAAATAAATAATTAATAAATGAACAAACAGGGATGCATGAATAAATGAGCGAAAAGATTCAAGTTCTTATCAATGTTATTGTAACCATTTCTCTAATGCTATAGAAAAAAATGCGGATGGTGAAAGAAGTATAGTTGGGATACGATATTGCAACAAATCACAGATAACCCACTGGAGGTTGGACCTGACGTTTTTCTACCTTATCCTTTCCTACCTCACATCTCTGCAGATCCAGGAAATTGCTAGAAAACGAAGAAGCAATAGTAGGTAACAAATACATAACACCAACTCTGTACCAGGTACCCTTTTATGTTGTTTACATGTATTAGCTCACGACAACCCTATGAGGTAAATGTTATTTTTAACTTCATTTTCCTGATGCAGAAACAGCAGCACTGAGAGATTAAAAGTAACTGACCTGAGGTCATAAGCTAGTGACAGGTGGAGCTGGAATTCGAAGGAGCAGCTAGCTGGCTCTACGGTGCCATGCATAGCTACGCTCAGAAGATGCAAAAGGGGAGAAAACGCACACAGTTCTCATTTCATATTTTTCCTCTTTTCCTCCATTTTTCTAAATCTCTGAAAGGCCAAAAATGTGTTTAGTTTCAGCTTGCATTCTCATCCTTTACCTCCGTTCTTCCTTTCCTGGCAAACAGTCTTGCTGTATAGTCGATCAAATGCGCGTAAAAGTCATTTCAGCACTCAAGGGGAAAGAGCAGAGAACAGATTGCCCTTAGAGTAAAGATGGAAAAATCTGGCATTAAAGGATCATCTTCAGCTCCCAAGAAAAGAAAAATGTTTACAAAGGAAAGGAAATGCAAACTGGTAGGCAGTCTGACATTTGGGAGAAAGACGTTCTTGTATGCATATCTTTAACGTTTCTGACATTTCAGCTCTTAAAACCTCACACAGCAGCCCCAAATCACAGTGTTTCTCCTCCACGTTGGTGCAAGGGGTCATTTGTATGCATGCCCTGATGTCACTTACCCAGCTTCATCTGCCCACCCAGTTGCACCAAGACCGTACTCTGCCTGCTGACTCCCCAAGCCCAGGCTGCCGCTGGTTGGATTGGCTTCAGCAGGGAAAGAAGTTTCTTAGGACCAAAGGAAAACACAGCTGAACAAACAGCCCGGTGTGTTTGGAAACTCCAGACAGGAGCTAGAGAAAGACACAAAAGGAGAAGACTCTATCACTCCTTCCCTAAAACATCCTGCGCCACTCCGCACCTTCTCAAGAGGGTCTGAAACCTTCCCTTTGTCTTCCAAGGAAAGTCACTGACCCCACCATCCGTTTCCTTTATTGAGTCACCACACAGATCCTCTAGTGCTGTGTCTAGATTGTTACCCCCTTGCCGCTCCTTCCACCTCAAACTGGAAGGAACCAGCAGTCAGCTCATGGGGTGGAGGGTAGAGGGAACTAGAAGCTAGAAAGGGAGGAGATGGGCAGAGTCAAGGCCTCCCAGATCTGCCCCAATACGTTCTGAGGAGCACATGGTATCATGTGTTTGGCCAGGAGACCCAGTCTTCAGACGTCACAGAAGGAAGCAGTACCCATGAATTGTTATGTAGGCTAATAGGCTCAAAATCGGCCAGTTGAATTGAAACGTGGTGTAGGTTTCCTCTGGGAAACTTCCTATCCACTCTGAACCTTTCGGGGAGTATCGTGTATTTAATGTGTTGAGCCAACATGATTTGTGATGTGTGTAAAATGCATCTTGCTTTTTGCTGCTCTGCCTGAACCGTCTGGCGTGGGTGTAACAGCCCCCTGCCTGGGGATGACAATTCCCGCAGGACTTTTCTGCTCACTCTTAGGTAACGGACAGTTCCAAGAGTCCCTTTAGGTTCCAAACACCGACAAAAGGATTTTTTTTTTTTTCTCTGCAGAGCCCTTCTCTCTTGTAATCCCCATCACTCAGGACAGATGGGCCTCCCTTGCTTACCCACGAGGCCTCCTGCAGCCTTTGCGCTATCTGCCGAGGTGCTCTCACCGCTCCGGGAGGTCTTTTTGGATAGGGCCCAAGTTGAGCCCGGTACTGCTTGCTCCCCACGTGGCCACCTCTGGGACCCTCACACGTCACCTGCCCTGACACCCGTCTCTGGTACAGCAGCCGTTTCCAGCCTCTGACCCCACGCAGGCCATCGGCCTCCTCTCTTCAGACTCCAGGCGGGCAGGAGACCTGAGTCCACAGCCTGCGTTAGCTTTTCTAAGGCCTGAGTCTGCTCTCTCTGAGTCCCACCTGCAGGAGGCATAGTTCAGAATCTCCTTGGTGATGGAGGGAGAGGGGTTTCCCTTGCAGGAACCCCTCACTGGGCTTGGGTCTGGGAGATAGCCCTTCCCCACCCCTTCTTCTAGAGGAATGGGATTCAGCGTGACAATACTCTCCCCACACACAAGCTCCTTTCCAGTTTCCCCACCTTCCTCTCCCTCTCTCCCCTAGTTATTGTCATTAACTGGGTGATGGGGTCCAGAATCATAGAACAGGTACCCTTCACATCTGCTCTACCCATCAGTGGGGTGTCGGGCACAGGGTTGGGGGGAGATGGGAGAGGCCATCTCATACTTCTTTGCTGCCTGTAGCTCTTCAGTAGAAACTGAGGCAGGAAGAGTCCCATGAATGCAAAAGAATTAGTTCATGAATGTCTTGATGGGCTTCACCAGAGGACACCTTCCTAGCTGATATGGCGACTAAACTACGGTCCCTTTTCAGAGACCCTAGAGACAAGTCAACCTTTTTGGAAAAAAAAATATATATATGCTCGCACTCTTCAAAATGCACTCATGAGACAAAAGTAATTGTTAAAGCACAGCTGAAACTGCAGCCCAGCACAAAAAAAAAAAAAAGGAAAAGTCATTTTCAGCAAAAAGTCATTCACTGCTATCACTGCGGTCACCCGGAGCTCTCCAGGGACACAGACTAGACACTAATTACGGAAAAAACTTCAAAGAGTTCATTCAGAGACTTGGGTATGGCAGTTTCTGGAGTGACCCGCTTTCTCTTCTTTGAGGAACTCAGTAGGAACATCTCTGGCGAGTCTTCATTCCTAAAAACACAGTCTCTTAAAATTAGGCCAGAAACGACATCCGTTCTTTTGTTTTTTACGTTCTGTGTTTATTAGTTAGGGAGCCACTGAGGAAGCATTCAGCGTATCTATATTCAAAGGTTTTACATGCCACTAGGCTTGCTCCAGTCGCAAGCTGAATATGAACACGAGAGAGAGTGTGTGTGTGTATTCAGGGCTTTTCCAGGGAACCTGAGTTTGAACCTCTGGGTCAAAGCAACTGAGAGAAAAAGGGAGGGTTGGCATGAACATCCCATTTCTGTTCCAAATGTTCCTTTACATTTGCAAAGCAGCAGTCTCCGGGTTTTAACGTGACTGCAAAATATACCGGTGCATCCAGAAATCAACACCTCTACAGAAAGCATCCCAGCGTATATTAAGAAAGGACAAGAGTGAGTAGCCACAGCTGCTTTTTTGACTTGCATCAAAGCCTGAACTGGCAAAGTAGCTCCCCTTTGGATTAATGTGCTGGATGGAACTAGCAACAAGAATGATCTCCCTTGGTGCCCATAAGATTCACATTAGCCCTGCAAAGATTATTGCTTTGATCTGTGAGCCTCTTCCATTGTGGCAGACAACAGAATCGGCCAACCCGTTAAGATTTTAGATCCCACTGTCGTTCGTCCTTCGGGACATATTTCAGCCACGGTGAATTACGTCCATACAAAACGAAGCATTTGCAGATGGCGATACTGTTCCATAGCTCGTAATGTGCCAGGTCCTTGCAGTCACATACCCACCTTGTTTCTGAGCCTTCCAGCTCACCAGCTCGATGATGGCTTCAGGAGAGGAACAGCTGTTCTGAAGAGCAAAGATCTTTGTGATAAGCACTTGCCTTCACCGTCAACTGTCCCAGATGGCAACCAGTCCATCCACGAGCCACTGGATTTTTTTTGCGGTAACATTCCTCCTCAATTAAAAGCACTCACCAACCTCAGAAAGCTCACTCGGGGCCAGACTCCCAGGGTTTCCCTGGCCTGTGTGTCTGGTGCCTTTGACAAGGGAGTGTTGAGGATCTGCAGATGCACGGACTGCCTGTGAGAGAGCTCTTCATTTAGACCACAGATATATTGCCACTGGGAGCGCTCAGCCTGGGCATGACACCACGCCGTCCACTCAGAAGAAACTTGTCCTCCTGAAATGAAGTGGCCCAGCCAGGCAGACAAAATCCATCCATTGTGGGAGATTGTCTCACATGTCCTGAGTTACGCACTGATAGCGCCATCTCCAGTTTGACTGCTTCTTCCCAGTGCTGTCTCGCTTTTGGTAAGCATTCCAAAAGCGGGCTAGGGAAAGGGCTGTTGAGCAGACCTGCATTTTACCACATATTGACACCCTGAGCGTGGATCTCAGCAGGGAGGTGGCACCTGATGGCAAGAAACATAACTGGCAGGTCAGCCCTTTTTCAGTGTTGGAACAGCATCCATTCTAAAGCACATGGGGTGAAGGGGCGGAGGAAGGTCCATCATTCGGAGATTAAGATAGCAGGGAACAGCTGAAAATGTCCTTTGGCTGACATAAGAATTGGCTCTGAAAATTCAGAGAGTCAGGGTTCCATAAGTCAAAATATTTCAGAAATGAAATTCAGTGGCTCAGAATAAAAAAAAAAAGTAACTATCAGAACATCACTGGGGCTACATGAGGTAAGATGGTGTACTGGAAACACCACTAGCCAGAAGCAAAAGTGATACCTTAGGTGTGATTTGGTCTCCAGTTAGCTGTGTGACCTTGGGCAAGTCACTCACCCTCTCTGTACTTTCACTTCATCAGTTATCGAATGAGACACTTGTACCAGCAGTTGATTTCTAAGATCCTTTCCAGTTCCATAATTACACCCCCTCTCTTGGTGTCCTTCCAGGTCTCACCAGGAAAGGTCACTTAAGACCTTGCATCCTCACTTAAAGTCCTTCCTGATACCCCTCTCCTTCCAGCACCACGAAGCCACCCTAGCAAGGAGCTGTGTCCTCGGCTCTCTCCCCACTGCCGTGTCCTCTGAGACTCTAGAGGGTCGCTATGAGACTGCAGCATCTGCCCAGTCTCTTATCTTACAGATCAGATTTTATGTACATCTTAAACTAAAAGGAATGGGAAAGAAGACAAGAGGGTGTAGCTGGCTGGAGGAACAGCACAACTCTAGCCCGGAATCCTCCTAGGGTTCCCATGTGCAGTGGACCCTGTACTCAGACTATCACAGCCTCCTACTC